ATTGTGCAGAAAGTACATCTAACTGCTGAGCCATCTCTTGAGCCCTACTATATGTTTCTTTTTAATACAGAGAGCAAAACCTTAAAACTGCTTGTGTAGTTCTTGCTGTAATAGTACTGGACAGTGCTGGTCTACAAGTACTGAGCAATTACACAGATAACTCCTGGGGAGTGAGAGGGGCTTAATGAGAAGAACAGAGAATAGGGGAATTCCAGTGTAAACATAAACTGTACTTTTTGATGTTGGCTTGAGTGGATTTTTCACTTATTTGATTTGAGATGAAGTCTTATTTAGCCCGGAACCTCAAGTATCTATGTAGCTGAGGATCTTTTTAGATTCTTGAACCTCCTGGCTCCAGTTCTAGGGTGTTAGATTTCAAGTATACAACACCAAGTTTGTCTTTTCCACTATATTTTGTAACCTTTATTTTTAATATTTCAGTATAGATTAACATAATCTTTGTATGTTATTTATTTATGTAAGTATACCGCTGAGTTATATTCTCACCATTATTTTGTTGTTATTGTTTTGCTTTTTTATGAGACAGATTCCTTTTTTCCTTTAGATTAAAAATCTTTTTTGTTGTTATTGTTTTGCTTTTTTATGAGACAGATTCCTTTTTTCCTTTAGATTAAAAATCTTTTATTAACAAAAAGTAAAGTTCAAATTAGAAACAGACACAACACAAAGTAACACACCTACAGAAGCCTTAGTAGTGATGACACCTCTGCAATGGAATAACAAATTTATCCACACTGCACTCTATATTTGAGGGAGTCTCTAAAATGTTTAACTTGTTTAAATAAACAAATGAATTAAGTTTATAAAAATAATACATTGAAAGCAAAACAGTCTTCAGTTAAGGAAAATTACTATTAAGACAGCACAGGTGGGTGTGGGTGGCACATATATGTAATCTTAGCACTCAGGAGACAGAGGTAGGGGGTCAATACAAGTTCAACATTGTATCGTGATAGATAATAAGCCATGTTTTAAAAATCTAGCTAAGAGAAAAGTTATTGTGATCTGAGCCTGTAGTTTAGGAGCAAAATCACTCATACCTACAATATTTTTCAGGCATCTGGGAATCATAGTAAGTTAATCATAGCTGCTCTGACAAAAGCAGGGTACTCTGTCATCCCTCTGTTTCTCCTAGGAAATGGGAGACAGAGACAAGAAAATCCCCAGAAAATCGTTATAGCCCATCAGAGTGGAACACAGCTGGGTCCACAACAATGGAGTTGGGGTAGGAAGAGCCAGAGTTCCAGGTCATCTTCCACTATATTCTGAGTTCAAGGACAGTCTAGCCACAGAATAGCCACGTGCAGCTGAGCTGCACTCACAGAACAGGGCGGGTGTTTGGTTGTGCCACGGCTGATCCAAAGGAAAGTAAACTCAAAAATCACTTATGTAGGCCCCACATTGGGCTTCTACTGGACAGTCCTGGTCTAGAAGTACAAAGCAATGCTAAGGGTCACTCCTTGGGAGAACGGGGGGAGGGGGGAGCTTTAGTGGGGAATGCAGAGGCTAGGAGGTTTACATGATTTAAAATGAATGGGATCTAGTGTGGGGGTGCATGCCTCTAATCCCAGCACTCAGGAGGCTAAACACGAAGGATTACAGCGGGCTTGAGATCCAGCTGAACTACATAGCAAATTCCAGGCCAGTCTAGTGTACACAGCAAGTACTTGTAAGTCTATAAACCAAAAAAGAGGAAAAGAAAAAAGGACGTCAAAGTTCAAACAATAGGCGCAAATTACAAAGGACAATTTGTCAATTTATAAATTATATAAAATATAAAGTTGTAGCAAAACAACTCAAAAGCGACACGCCTATAATTATCATGGTAAAATAATTAGCAACTTTAGCCTGATGTGCCATTACTGCCTGTGAATAGTTAAATAACCCATTAAAAAAAAATAAAAACCTCATTATTTTCTGGAAGAAGAAAAATCACATTAGCAGAAAAGATTAGTATACAAATTTACAAAAGTGACTTGAAATAACCTTTATTTTTTATTACATTTGTTGATTTATATATATATATTGTGTGTGTGTGTGTGTGTGTGTGTGTGTGTGTGTGTGTGTGTGTGTGTGTGTGTGTGTGTGTGTGCCACAGGTCTTTTGGCGGTCAGAGCACAGCTTGGACCGTATGTATCCCTGGGATCCAAGTCAAGTCATCTGCCTTAGGAGTCAGTGCTTTTACCCACTGAGCCACTTTGCTAGCCTAAGTGACCTTTATTTCTAACAGCAGTAGATACAGCTAACCCGGGACACAGAGGATCTAGAACACTTGTGACTCATACTTCCTCTTTGCAAAGGTCTCTGGCGAAAAACAAATGAAACTAAGTCTTCCTCAGTCTTAAGACCTCCTAGATAAAATGGTCACCTTCCTCCTGCTCTCACCACTTCTTAGCTGAAGCCCAGAAACATGGGAGATCTCAGAACGGCTAAGGCATCTCTATTCATCTCCAGAAGGATCCAGATCATTTGCTTAAAAATCTGGGGATATAGCTGGGCTCTGCTCCCTTTCTGTAAGTCTATAGATCACCTTTGGGAGTAGGCATGAGGGCCATCTGAGCTCCAAGTCCCATTGTTGTTTGATAGTGATGTTGGATACTGCTGGCGGTGGTATTATACAATGACTACATTTCTCAAACTCAAGTCATAAGCTTAGAAATGACAACATCCTACTGCAAGCTGTGTAGTATTTTCATAAATGTCAACAAGCTATTTCCACAAGCACATGCTGTATTTATTTTAAAGGGGGAAATTATTCATATAAATTGACTTGCTGTTACCAGAAAATCCGCCGAACTGCTTACAATTTCTGTCTTGGGAATTTCACATCTATAAGTCATGGGCTGAGAAACCCCCCTTCTCAGAACCTGTCTGGTCTAATAGGAAACTTGTAAGTACTTGTAAAGGCAAGCTACACAATCACTCTCCTCCCCCTTTCTCTTTCTCTGAAACAGGGTTTTGTGTAGCCCAGACTGGTTCTGATCTTTCTTCATACAAAGAATAACCTTGAATAAACTAAGGATGACCTTGGACTTCTTACCTTCCAGCTTCCACCTTCAGAATGTTGCGATCCCAGAAGTGCTCCACCACACCCCATGAACAAATGTGTTTAACTGCTGAGGCATCTTGCCAGTCTTTGATTTCTTGCTTTTTGGAGGGTTTTATTCTTGGTTTTGTTTTGAGGTAAGGTCTCATGAATCCCAGACAGGCTTGAACTTGCTGTAAGGTTTGATTTTTTTAATTTTATTTAGCTTTTTATTATTGCATGTATATGATGAGTATATGTGAACATAAGCTCATGAATGCCACAGTATGAAAGAAGAGGTCAGAGGACAACTTTCAGGAGTCTGTTCTCTCCTTTCACCATGGGCTTCAGGGATCAAACTCAAGTGGACAGGGGCTTGAGAACCCAACTCCAATCATTTGGTCTTCACTGAGTCATTCCATTAGCCCTTCCCTCTACCCCTTGCTGCTTGTTTGTTTTTAGTCATTTTTAATTTGGCTGCCCTGTCTGTCTCTTGAATTTATTTCTATATATTGGCTTCTTTTCAATTTTTCATATTGTGGATTTGTGTTACATTTTTAAAGATTTTTTTGTGGTTGTGGCTCTGTGTATGTACATGTGTACACATGCACATGCGTATGCAGTACATGTGCCTCAGCACATGCATAAAGACTAGAAGAGGGAATCTGTCCTCCTCTATTCCTATTTCCATGAGACAGAGTCTCTCCCTGAACACCAGCATGCGGAATGGTCTCACCCATATTTAGTATGGGGCTTCTCACCTCAGTTAATCCAAACTAGAAAATAGCTCACAGACATGGCCAGAGATGGGTCTCCAAGGCGATCTTAGACCCTGTCAAGCTAGCAGTCAATATAAACTATTACACCATAGCATCAGCCATTCTCCTATTTCTCTGCTAGGCTGGAAGCCAAGAAACCTCAGCCATCCTCTTATCTCCACCCCTCTCTATTAGGGTTACAGACTTGCAGTAGACTCCTGTCTTATTACATAGGAACTGAGTTCCAAACACTAGTCCTCATGATTGCCCAGCAACCACTCTTAACCACCGAGCCGTCTCTCCACCCTCTTCCTTTGAAAGGCTTTAAGCTACCCCCTTGCCATTTCCTGGGCCACTTATACTATCTCCTTTGTATCCTTCATCTTTTCCTGTGCCACCCACCAACTCCCTCTCAAATACTTGAATCTAAGTGACTACAGGTCTAAAATTAAGGGTTCTAATTCCAGCTTGCTGTCACCTTCTGGTGCCCTTGACCTTGACCTATTTTCTTTGATGAGAACAGAAACAAGAGAACATTGCTATAATGCTTAATTTAACTTTTACAAACAAAGGAAAACAAAAAAATACTCAAAATTTTAATAAAGTATATAAAAGGAAAAAACTGAAATACCTTATGGTATAATTACTGACTTAGGTATTTTTTCCATATGCTAAACAGAGAAATATACAATTCTAGAACATTCTTTCTTGACTTAAAAATGTAGCATTATCTTCTGGCTACAGTACAAACTTAGTGGTAGAGATTTTGATTGTGTTTTCTGCTGTTCCTAGAGACTAAACAGTGTCCAGCAGGAAGCAATTACTAATAAAGATCTACTGAATGAATGGATATGATCTTTCCTCCTGTCAATCACCTAGACATTTCACAAGGCCAGAAATGTGATTCATTCTATTGTCCCAGTACCAAAGTACCTGCACTTTACAACTACTTTAAAGTGTTTGTTGATAGGCAAGGCAGACTCAGAACTCAGGAGGAAAAGGCAGGAGGATTAGGAGTTCAAGGCCACCCTGATGAGTTCAAGGGCAGTCTGAGATATGAGACCTTACCTCAAAAACCAAAATTCAAACAGCAAAAGCTCTCAGAAAAGCTAAATGCTTCTTTTTTTAACCGTATCCATACCATGTGCATTAGTGAGTGTTCCAGTTGCTATGACAAAATGCCTGACAAGAATCCCTTTAAAAGGAAAAGATTTATTTTGATTTGTAAGTCAAGAGGACATGGCCCATCATGGTGGGGAGACACCGTAATAAGAACAAGAACTTGCTGGTCACATAGCAATGGTAGTTAAGAAGCAGAAAGAGATGGATGCTGGTGCTATACTTGCTTTATCAAGACACCAGCCCATGGAATGACCCCACCCACATTCAGAGTGGGTCTTCCCACCTCAACTACCATAATCTAGAAAGTGCCTCACAGACGGCCAGAGATTCATCTCCAAGGTGATTTTAGACCCTATCAAGTTAGCAACCAATAAACTATTATACCATGCAATCAACCACCCCCCACTGATGTAAAAAGTCCCCCGAAAATACTAATACAGTGATCATCTTTGTATCCATGCTTAAAATCTTTGTCCAACAAGAAGACTGATGGAGGAAACCATTGATTCAGTTTAAAGTCCTTCCCCAGTACAGTTTCATAACTTTAAAACATTTGTGATTACTTTCCTCACCTGCATGAAAGCCATTACCTCTAATTGGTTTTTGTCAGTTGATCTCCCTTCCATACCCACCTAAGAAAGCCAGTACCTCCCCAAACTAGATAGATGTAGCCCAAACAACAAAATCCATACAAGAAAAACTCGTACAAACAGCAGATGCCTGATGCCTGTGTCCTCTGATGTACAAATGTCGTCTGATCTACATAGTGCTCTCCAGTGCAAAAAGTCTTTCAACAAAGCTATCTTTCTGCTCATTTGATTTTTTCCACTCAGGGCTGTTGAATTAGGTTCTGTTACATTACACACCCATCAAGGCATGGAGCACACCATTATAAGCCTGACAAAAATTGATCTCCACCAGCTTGGATATTAGGGTTGATGACCACTGAGGCTGACTGACTAGACACACTGACGCCAGGCATCTGCCTTCTTTCTGTCAGGAAGCAAAATGAATGTCCCAGTCACCGGTTCTTCTTCTGTGAAAAACACAACTCCAGTTTCCTCTGTGAATGGAGAAGTTGCCAGAGGCACTTCCCTTTGAGGACACAACAGTCAAGGTTTGTCTTTGGCAAAGAGAGTTTCCTTTTATAGGCACAGGCTGGTGATGAACGTTTTCTTTTTGTGAAGAAGGTTATGTAGCACAGAATGTTCACAAACTCTTCATGCCCCTGCTTCAGCCTTCTGAGTGATGGAATTAATTACAGGTCTGTACTATCTGTACTGTATGCTCCCACACAGAAGACAGAGGGGAATCGTAGAAATACACATTATAGAGAGGCAGCAGGCCCAGATAGAACCTTCCAGAGGCCAGGCACCAGCAGGCAAGACTAACTCCGTTTTAGGCTTGACACCATCTTGAGAAGCTGCTGACCAGACCCTGAACCCAGTTCACAGGGAAAAAACAAACAAACAAACAGCTAAAAGTCGTTCCAGGACCCCCACATCCTGCTGAATCAGCCTGACACTGAGGAAACAGACGTCTTATCACAGTCACCAGATACCCCAATAGGTCATTAGATGTTCTAATGGAAATTTCCAAAAGCTTACTTAACCCCAGGGCCAATCGACCCAGGAAGCACACACCCAAGGCTTGCACTCCCCTAGCTTATGGCTTTTCCCTTTATAAGCTCACTCCTCCTGCTGGTTCTGGGCACCCCTCTCACCCACTCACTGCACGGGAGTGCTGCTGGGTGACCCCCTGAACTCAAGTTCATTTTTTAATAAACCCCTGTGTGTGGTGGACATGTTCAGGGGGTTCCTAGTCTTAGGCATAATTCCTTCACTGTTGTCTAGTCCTGCTCTGATCCTTCCTTCATTTCTTTCGTGTGTGTGTGTGTGTGTGTTGTGTGTGTGTGTGTGTGTGTGTGTGTGTGCAGGTACATTCACATATGTGTGTGAAGACCAGAAGACAACCTCCTTTATCTTTCCTCAGGAACCCAGGAATACAGCCCACCTTATTTTGAGTCAGGGGCTCTTGGTGAGTAGGAACTTAGCAACTAGGCTAAGCTGCCTGGCAACCAAGCCCCAGGGATCTGCTTTGTCCATCACCTCCCCATCTCTAAGTTTGGAGGAATGCACTAGCATGCCTGGCTTCTCCACGTGGGTTCTGGGGATCAAACTCAGATTCCTCATGCTTGCACAACAAGCACTTCACTGCCTGAGTCATCTCTCCAGCCCCATGGTAGGGTTGCTTGTTTGTTTGTCTTTTGTTTTTAACACAAAAGGCTCACCATCATAGCCCATACTGGTCTTGAACTCAGGATCTTCCTGCATCAGTCTCCCAAGTTAAGTAATTATAAGCATCTGTCACCTGGCTCTTTCTTAGTCTTTCAACGTCAGAAATCTCTAGAAAAACCAGTAGCCACTTTAGATTGCCTGCATCCACAGAGACTCGCACCTTTCTATCTTAGACTAATATTCCCCCTATTTGTTGTTCAGGAGCTTTGTGGACATATCACAATCATGAATGTCCCAGTGCTCTGGAGACATCAGACTAAGCACTCCTAATGTATGAAAGCACATGTGAGCTTCAATATCCATTATTAGCAGTCTCTGGGTTGGTGTATTTTAATATAGCATAGGTTACAGGTGAATCCCCTTGTGAACTAATTATCCCTAGGAAACAGGAACACTTTTCTCGGTGGCTGTGGATAGAAACCCCAAAACTTTTCAGGTGACATATTTCATAGGAAAGGAAAATGCCAAAGTCAGAAATGAAGAGCAGCCTTAAAAAGTGATGGCCCAGAGATGGTCAGGATGGCTGCCCACTGCTGACGTAACAGTAGTACTCATTTGAATTCTGTATTTCATAGATGTTCTCCTCGATGGTATAGATGTTTTCCTCGGATCGATTCCTGCCTGCTCCTGCATTCACTAGCCCCGCTGGAGGGAGGTTGGCCAGTGTGATGAGGCTGTGAAAATGAAATGCGGCAGTTGACAGAAGAATGCCCAGATGTCAGAGAGTAGAGTTAAAAGAGTAGTCTTCACTGATGACAGCAGTCAATTGACACTCATGACCCTTCACAGGATGCTCCCTGAAGGAAACCCAGGCAGTAATGTGGGGAACAATTAAGGGCATATAACTACTCTTAATTTTCTTAGGTATTTAAACCATAGGTCCCTAGTCCTAGGAGTTGTAGGCTGAAGTGTCTGGGATGTGTCCAGACACATTCAACATGCTTAGAGTGGTTGAGAGAAAGCCCAGAGCTCACTGAGAACAGACAACACAGGTGTTCCAAGTGTTGAATAGTTGAAGCCGAAGTGGTTTCCTGTCCCTTGCACTGTTGTCTCAACTCTCTGTGAGCCCCAACAGTTTAAAGAGGAAGGTGTGAATGTGTTAGAAACACACTCAGACTGGAGTTGGAATTCTGTTTCTTCCCAACGTCATGACTTGGGCAAACTCGTTTGTTCGTTGGTTGGTTGGTTGGTTGGTTGGTTGGTTGGTTGGTTGGTTGGTTGGTTTGTGGTTGGTTGCTCATTTGGGTGGGGTTTTAAAAATGTTTTTAGTACTATTGCACAAAATATGGGTGTCATGACAACCTTTTTATAGCTCTAAATTCTGTACTCTGCTCATACACAGCTCATCACCATCTCTTGTGTCCCTCCTCCTCTTCCCAATACTATTTTGGTGTCATTCATATATATATATATATATATATATATATATATATATATGAATTTTAATTCAAGAGAGTTACACACCATCCTGTGCATCTGTAGACTACAATAGTAAACAAAATACACATATCCATAGATGTTATACTTTAGTAAAATTTGTGCCTCAGTTTCCTCAACTCTAGAAATGGGAATGGTGAGCGAGAGCCCTGCTGCAGGACAGCTGTGAGGAGCCCTGGACCATTCATTCATTAGAGTTGATCACTGGTGTTTATCAGGCACCGTGTGTGTGTGTGTGTGTGTGTGTGTGTGTGTGTGTGTGTGCAGTCAGGAATGAAGTAATGATGAGGGTCACCTGAAGAGCTCTGAGAGCTCTGAGAGCAATACCACCTCAGGCTCCACCCCAATAACCTGATTAATTTCCTTTAGATATGTCCCATATTAGCAACTTTAGTGCCCAGGTCATCCTACCACACTGTCACAGTAGGAAATGCCCAGGAAGGGCTATAAAAACCCCAGCCATAGTAGCTTGAGATGTGTTTTTTGTTGATGTTTGGTTTTTTTTGTTTTTGTTTTGTTTTGTTTCTCTCTCTCATTTTGGTAACACCATGAAAATAGTAAACACTCAATCAGTTAAAGGTTCAGGTCACTGGAAATTAGAGATAAATAAGTATTTGTTAGTAATTAGATGGCAACTATACACCTCAGCTTTAGAACTGAGGAATCTAAATGTACAGGAGGGCAAATGTACATTGTTCATTTCATAAACAAAGGAAGTCTAAGCTAAGATTTCAAAGCTCTGAGTAAGAACTTCTCAGAAGAATGAAATCATATGATATTAGGTGGTCCCCAATACCCTTTTCCCTCTTCCATCATTCTTACCTTGAATTCTGTAACTTCTTTTTCTTATAAGAATACCCTAGGTAAAGGTGGAAGAGAAAGCAATTAATGCTTTCCTAAGATAATTTGAAATAAGAAATAAAATGGACTGATTGGAGATGAGAGTTGCTTGGTGAAATTTGGTCATGCCTTAGAACAAATTAAATCAACCTGCCAGTAATGTCTTGGGACTATGTTAACAGTGATGATGTGGGGCTCTTCCTTAACAAACAGTATGAGAATTATCCCATGTGTGTGCTGCAGTTTGGTAGGCACCAAGGACATACAGCGGGAGTTGTGAGCTCTGACTCCATGAAACACACATCTGAGTGAGGAAAGAAGGAGGAGAGGAAGAGTGGAAAGAGGGAAGGAGGAGAGGAAGGACAGAAAATAATTTCAAATTATACTGTGTTATGAAATAAAACCAGCACCATACTAAACCAAAACTAGAGAAGGTTAGATGAGAACGTTAGGACATGACTTTTGAGGTCTATTACAAAGGAAAAGAATGAGTCACCTATGTCAAGAGCTAGGAGAAATATTACAGGAACAGAGAACGCTCCGCAAAGACTGCATGGGTGTCAAAACCAAAACTGTGACTAGAACAAGAGAGTGGTCCCCCAAAAAATTTGAGCTGAGGCTTGGTCCTGAAGATCTTTTCCATTACTACTCTGTAATTTCAACCCCCCGTCCCTGGGATGTGGAGGTACTAGGATCAAGTATCCAAGGCAAGCAAGCAATGCCTGAGATCCATCTCAACCAAACAAATCAACTAAACAACAACAAAGAGAATTTGGACGGATGAGACAGGAAGACCTGTATCATTAATGAGAGTATGATATGGATACTGTATAAAGAACTGATTAGAAGGAGAAATAAATAAATGAAGCAATCTTAGATATATTTTGCACAGAGACTCTGACTGAAGTTGATTACATATTAAGATGTTGAAAGAGAGGGTTCTGGGATGACTTTTGCATCTCTGGCATAAACAGTGAGAGAGGAGGGCAAATGATGGAAATGTCCAGGGCCTGACAGCTGCGTCCTGCTGAATGGAATACTGACTCAGGAGCCTTGTTTCTAACATATGAGTGTATGAACCTTCAAAGTGAATCTACCAACTGGACAGAGAGACAAGCTGCACCAACATTTCAAGAGTTAAAAAGATTAAAGAGATTATTTAAGTCCCAGAATATATGTTACAAAGTAGAAGGTTTACAAAGAGAAAAAGTCCAAATCGTGAGGAACTTCAACTTCTAAACACCAGGCAGAAGAGGAAATATCTAAATAATGGGGAGGACTGACCAATCAAATATAGAAAATGGTGTTTCCAAAGCCAAGAAAAGACACTTTAGAACAAAGTATGGAGTCTACCTGGGATATTACTGCAGAAATACTAACCACAATAAAGGCAAAGCTATCCATGACCATTAGGAAAATGGAAGGAACTGGGGATTAATTAAAATTGTGTCTGTGACTCTTTAAGGATAGAAGTAAGATTGGCAATTCAGAGGAAAAATATAAATGAATAGATGAAGACTTGGCACAGGAAATAGATCTTTGATATCCTTGATTGGGATAGGGTTGAAGAAGGTTAAGTAGGACTGAAGCATGGGTGATCATCTAAGTCAGTCCACTCAACAGGCAGAGGATTGATGAGTACTTCCCAACCAGCTTGTGCCTATAATGTCATGACTAAAGTGCAGGCCACCTCATCTGTCAGATTGCTACCCACAACATCTAGGGAAAATATTATAAACTGAACAGAATGTTTTGATTTATTCCTTAAAACAACCCTCTATGTTAACCTTTGTCCCTTTAAATCCACTGTGGTTAGTCGAGAAACTTCTACAAACACCAAAATTCAAGTGTGTTCAAATTTCTTGTATAAAACACCTTTAATACCTGTCACATTTTACCACACACTTTAAATGATCTCTAGATGGTGTATAATATCTAGCATGATATAATTGCTATAGTTAAATAGCTGCTACCTTCTTTGGAAGATTAAAAAGTCTATGCATATTAAGTATAAATAATTTTCACTAATTTTTTACTTTTTGGTTGAGTCCACAGATGTGGAACCTATGTGCATTGAAAGTTAGCAATTATATGTACATTAGATTTCACCCATGACTCTTTTAAAGAAAGAATGAGCATGGGTTTATTAAGCAAAAGAGAGAATTAACTCCCAATATGGGGTAGGATTCCAAGGGAGGAATACCCACCTATCTCCTTATCTTTTACCTAAATTACAAAAGTTCCTAATTTCTAGGTCTTAGAAGAACTCTAAAAGTAGTTCATGTTATTACTTCTCCTGTCATCACTTAATAGCTTCTAGATTTCATGTTCAGGTGATCAGTTCCCAGTGTTTACTGCAGTCTCTGGGCAAGCTCATATGAGTGTATATGGCATGTAAATTCTGTAATCCCAGAACTCCCTGGAGGTAGAAGCAGGAGGATCAGAAGTACAACTGCACTACATACCCAGACCCCAAGTTGTCTATTTAAATAAAGACAAATAACCATGTGTGCTGACCACTGTGAGGAGAAACCATAGTTCTAGAATCCCAGTCATGGTTCAGTGTTAAAGAGAGGTGCCTGAGAAGTAACATAGGAACCCACACAGAAATAAGGTGTGTTGTTGTGTTTCCTAATAAGCACGGGTATATTTATGGTTTAAATAGAGTAGCTCTTTCAGTCAATTAGAGAGAGGGTGGAGATGGGAAAAGATGAGCGTAGGGCAGGAACGGGAAGGAAAAGAAAGGTACCCAAATGCTTCAATTCATATGTGGAGGCCAGAGGATAGTCTGAGAGAAGAAACCCATTATCTTCTACCACCATGTGGGTCTCTGGAGGGCATCAGGCTTGTGGCGGGCACCTTAACACACTAAGCCGTACCACCTGCCCAAAGATTAGTTTTTGTATACAAAGATAGCCAGTTTTTGCTGTCTGCTGCTCTTGAAGGTCTGGTGAAACTTGGAGAACTCAGCTACTCTCAGCAAAGCTCTATTTCCCTCTTCCCTAAACAAGGAAGGAATAGTACTACCTACTGTATCATTGATGATGACTCAGAAGTCTGTAAAACATTTAGCATAGTGTCAGCCTGACACATAGAAACTTCGAATGATTATGAGTTCTCTGAATTGGCAACTCCTAGAGGAACAAACGACTGCCTAGTCTAACCACCATCAGGTTTACTTTAAAAGTTGTATTGTTATCTAGGCTTGTGCTTGTTCCTGTGGTAACCATTCTTCATCAGAAAGAAAAAGGAGCAACATCCAGCAACTTACATTTAAGGATTAGAACACCAAAGATAAGTGCCAAGGCCAGCCCAGCAGAGACCCCTACTCCGATGTAGACAGCTGTTCTGATGGTTTCTCCAGAGTCCTTCATATCATCTACCCATGTGGAAATCTGCTGGGGGACAGAAAATGGGAGCCAAGCTTGAGATGTCCAGAAATTGGTCACATGCTCATCACGTCTCATAGGTTCAGGAGGAAGACCACTCTTTTTATGGTTTGGGGTTACAGGAATGATGAAGCACACACACACACACACACACACACACACACACACACACACACACAAACACTTGATCTGCCTTCTTCTAAACTATTCTTAGCCACCAAAGGAATGAAATGGGTTAGCTTAATGTTTGTAGCTAACAAGGAAATAAAATGCTCCCTTCAGTGCTGTGGTTATAGAAGTCATTCTTTACCCCACCTGCACCCATCCCTACAGAGGCTTTATAGTGGAATCCTATCGTTTCAAAAGTGTGTATTCAGAGGGAGTTCCAGAGTGCCTATGTTTGAAGTCTTTCAAGGAAACCTGTATTCTCTCAGAAAAGCAGTGCTGCAATAGCCATGACCTTGCAGCTCACACAGTCCTCGGTTCAAATCTCACATCCCCAAGAACTCCTGTGGAGTTACTGGCAAAGTTAGCATGGAGCCTGTTTCTTAATGAACACTCAGTCAGTGGTAAATACTACTGCTGTTTCTCTCATTTCTGATACCAGGGAGTCAAATAGAACATCCTTCTAGTTCTAAAATATAAACCCACATTCCACCTTCAAAGACAATAATAGTAAAGAAACTTTTTAAAAAAGTGAACCAGTGATGGTGCTGAACATCCATAAACCCAGAACTTGGGAGGTTAATGCTGGAAAGTAGCAAATTTGAGGGCAACCTGGAATACATATCAAGACCCTATTTCAAAAGCACCAAAATTCTCATGCATTTATGGGAAGCACTAATTAGACTCAGTAGGTTATAAACAACAACAAGAAGAAGACACAAACTCAGGAGGAGACATGAGGGGGACCTAGGAGGAGGTGGAGGGGGGATGAAGTGAGTATTACTGAAATACATTGTATTATTCAAGTACAAAATAATCTAAGAATAAATGAAAACTACATTTAAAACAATACAATAAACAATGAAGACAGCAAATCTCAGAGGTTAAATTCTCCATTTGATCATTACACATTGCTTCTGTGAAAGCAGGATTCCTGTGTACAAGCACTATGGGTTAAGCACTCATGGGCAACAGAAGTTCTGGATGTGCTCTCTATCTCAAAGAAGGAAGAGACAAACACACAAGATGGCAGGCACTGACCATGAGCACACAAACAAGAGACTGGATTAGATAAATGCAGGCTTCTAGACGCAGTCCTAAAGAGTTGTTTTTATCATCCTTATCTACAGATTATTAGTATGTGTGTGCACATACATATGTGTACATCCATACCATGGTACACAGCACAGGAATGGTGATTGGAGGACAACTGTCAGGAATCAGTTCCTCCCCTTCCACCATGAGTTCTAAGAATCACTCTTGTGCAGTCAGGTTGGGTGGCAAGTGCCTTTACCCTCGGGAAATCTCAATGTCCAGTCACTGTAGTTGCTACTGCTAGCTGGCTTTTTAGTGGCCTTTTCCCTGTCTAGTTCAGTACATAATAATTCAGTACATGAATTCTTGCCTCTGGGTATTCCTGAGTGGTGTCTTGTTACATAAAAATGAATTTAAAAAGTACAAAATTTAAGCTGGGCATCCCAGCACAGTGGAGGAGGAGGTAGGAAGATGGGGAGTTCACCATCATCCTTAGCTGCATAATAAGTTCAAGACCAACCCAAGCTACATGACACCTCATCTCAAAACCACAACCAACTGAAGTGGCAAACCAGAAAAGAATGTCAAGGAACCTTCCACAGTGACACATAGTAGTGAAAGATGGATGCTTATTTCTTCTTGGTGGTTTTCCACACTTAGCATGTGCCAGAAATCTCACGCTCATGTCCTACTTCTAGCATTAACAGGTCTGTACAGTCAGACCTATCATTGCCAACACATGAAAACCACAGAGTGTGAAGCCAAGAAGCTTAGTGGCATGAAGGAAGTCTACAGCCAAGCACAATGTTAGCACACACACCAAAGTTACTTACTGTTCGATTTTTATCATAGAGGGTCCCCAGAGTCTGTGTCTCTGCCACACACACATACAAAGGAGAGGAAGTAGACAATAGTTAAGAATGTTTTTAACTCCAAATCAAAGAAAAAAATTAAACTTATTAGTAATCCTGTTCGGTACTAATTCATCTCCATAAGCTCCACAATAATTAGAAGATCAACAAAGACACTGATTGCATGCATGCAAACCAATCTCAGTGTGACGGATGTACTTTCACATAGACATGAACCCCATTATCTGTTAGGTCTTAAATCCCAGACAAATGCCTGAGGTGCCTATTAAACATCCCAAAGTGGACCTGGCTGCTAGGTTCTCCCAGCATCCCTCAGTTCCTACCTGTTACAAGAAATAGCAGGCATGCTCCACCCCCTACCCTGGACTCTCTAACCCAGGACCTGGGCTGCCTTTCCTATATAATCCAACCCGTTTAGCTATGCCAGTCCTTTTTTACCCTTTACCTTGCTGGCATCTTGGTTTCCTGGCCCTGGCTTTCCCCGTCTCTCCTCCGCCCTCTCTTCACATGGCCCTACTCAGGGTCATGTTCACTCTCGACTCTCTCAGATGTCTCTGTCTCTGGCTATGTTTTTCCTCTTATCTGTAATAAGCCTTCTCCTCCACCATACCTAGGAGTAGTCATGTCCTCCTTTTATTTCTTTTTTCTTTTTATTCACTACCAATGTTGTAAGAAATGGAGACTCTGGTTTGGAAGACTTACACTGAATATGTCCTTGGTTTTGTCCAGAGGTTCAATGAGTGACAGCAGTCCAGTAACATTGATAACATACAGTCATATTCTAATTAGACTTTCAAAGACACAATACTTTTGAAAAAGTTTAACCTTTACTCATTGCTAAGGTATTTAGTTGTTTTCAAATGGAAACTATTGCTACAGTTTACCAGGGGTCAGGCATTTTGCCAAACACTTTTAAGGAACTATCTCATTCAGTATGGGAAAATAATTGTCCTTAAAAAACAAACTCAGGAAAAATGAATGACTGAGTGATGAATTAATCAGGTCTGAGTGATGAATTGGTCATCAAAGAAACTGGAAGGGAAATTAATAAAATTTTCAAATTGAATAAAAATGAAATACAATGTAACCTGCAGAATGTAATGAATGCAGTTATAGGAGGGTAGCTTTAGCTACGTGAAGCCCTACATTTAAAAAAAATTCGGAGAAACTTGAGTAAAAGCTTAATAATGTGCCTCAAGGTCTTAGAAAAAGGAGAGCAATTAACCCCAAAAATAGCATATGGAAACAAGAGACATTAGGGTAGAAATTAATGAAATAGAATCAAAAGTACCAGTACAAAGAATCAATAGAAAGATGAACAAAATCAGGAAACTCTTGGCCAAATTAACCAAAAGACCCAAATGCACAAAATTAGAGAAAAAAGGGAGACATTGCAATAGCTAAAAATGGCACTTAGAAAATCATTATGACCTGCTTAGGCATGTATTCCACTAAACTGAACATCTAAAAGAATGGATTGGTTTCTAAATGCATATGACCTACCAAAATTAAACTAAGAGAATTTAAACAATGCCTTGCAGCCACCAAAGGAATAGCATGCCAGAATATTATGGGTAAGCCACAGCCTCATAACAATACATAGTTTAATAAAAATGGATTAATATTTAAGCGAGAGCTATCCAATAATAAGCCCAAGCCATCGGCCAAACAGTTTATAATTAACATTAGTCTCTGTGTATTTATTTGGGACTAAACAGGGCTGTGGGACCAGGCAGGACAGAAAATTTCATCAACAAGGGTGTCTACTTTCTCCATTACTACTTGATATAATTTTTGAAAGTCCTAGCTAGAACAGTAAGAAAAGAGAAAGAAACAAAAGGGATACAAATAGAAAATAGAGATGACACAATAGTGTTTGTAACTGGACCAGAAAACTATTAGAGTTAGTTGATGCTTTCAGCAAGCAGTAGGGACATAATCAATACACAAAACTCATGGCTGTCTTTGTGCCAATGACAAATACAATGAGAAAGAAATCAGGAAAACAGTCTATTAACAATAGCTTCATAAAACAAAATATACCGTTTGTGTGTGGTGGTTCACACCTTTAACCCCAGCATTTGGAAGACACGTGGATTTCTGTGGGTTTAAGGCCACCCAGGTCTATACTGTGAGTTTCAGGACACTCAGAGCTACATTAGTAGGACACTGTCTTTAAAATCAAAATAATACAGAGGCTGGAGACATGACTCAGGGTTTAAGAGTATTTGCAGTTCTTGCATCAGACCTGGTTTTGGTTACTAGAGCCCACATGGTGCCTCACAACCTTCTGTAACTCTCGTTCAAAAAAATCTGAAGCTGTCATCTAGCCTGCATGCCCACCAGACACGCAAGCAGTGCAGTCACAGACATGCCAGCAAAGCATTCACACAGAAAACAAACATAAATTTAAAAATCTTTTAAAAGCACTAAGATAAAATACCTACAAATAAACCTTACCAAGGAAGTAAAAGAGCTCTATCATCAACACTTAAAAAGAAATTGAAGAAAACACTGTAGCGTGTGTGCTCCTGTCTCCTCTTGCCTAATATTTCTCTCTCTTCCCAGCCATATCCCTTCCTAGTAATGGGATTAAAAGCCTGTGACTCCCAAGTACAGGGATTGAAGGTGTGAGCCATAATCATCAGACTCTGTTTCTCTTTTAGACTGGATCACTCTGGTGTGTCCAGGGTGGCCTTAAAATCACAGACATCCATCTGCCTCTGCCTCTGCCTCTGCCTCTGCCTCTGCCTCTGCCTCTGCCTCTGCCTCTGCCTCTGCCTCTGCCTCTGCCTCTGCCTCTGCCTCTGCCTCTGCCTCTGCCTCTGCCTCTGCCTCTGCCTCTGCCTCTGCCTCTGCCTCTGCCTCTGCCTCTGCCTCTGCCTCCTGAGTGCTGTGATTAAAGGTGTGCACCACCACTGCCTGGCCTCTATGGCTAACTAGTGGCTTTGCTCAGCACTCTGGTCTTCACCACAAAACACCGGAATGCAGAAAGACTTCTCATAGATCAGTAGAAGTAATATGAAAATATCTATCTTATCAAAAACAGTGTACAGATTCCATTCAATCCCCACCAAAATCCCAGTGACCATTTGTCTCAGAAATGGAGAAAAATCCCCAAACTCATAAAGACCCTAATAGAATAGCAATTCTGATCTCAAGTTATTTACAGGGACCTGGTGACAAGCAGCATCACAGTAACACAAAAGCAGACAGGTAGCTCAATTGAACAGAATGGAGAGCCTACAAACAAAACACACAGCTACAGACACCTGCTTTTACAAACATGCCCAATACACACACTGGAGGAAAAGACAGCCCCCTTAATGACTAGTGATAGAGACACTGGACTTCTACATGTGGAAAGACAAAATTAGACCTTTATTTCTCATTCAGTAGAAAAATCAATTCAAAATGGGTCAAAGAACTTAATATAAGAAGTGAATCATCAAAACTTACATGGAAATACTTCCACTTACCAGTATAGACAAAATTTTCTCAAAAGGACCCCAAGCATAGTAATTAAAACAAGAACTAACAGGTGATATTGCACAATATAAAAAGCTTCCATAACGAAGAGACAGCCTAAAGGATGAGAGAAAATCTTTGCTAGCTATATAGTTCACAGAGGATTAATACCTAGAATATATAAAAAAAGAAAATTTCAAAAACTAAAACATCTAAAACCAACTTAACAAAAGAAAACAACTTAACAAAAAGTGGGTTGATATTGCTCATTACAGGAAAAGACAACATACACTTGGTTAACAAGAATAGAAAAAATTATTCAGCATCCTTTAAATTACTTAAATGAAATTTAAAACTATATACTCTTGTTGATATATTTATTTACTTATGGTGTGTGTGTGTGTGTGTGTGTGTGTGGTGTGCGTGCACACACATGCTCGAGTGTGCATGCGCACATGGTATGGCTGTGGAAATCAGAGGACAACTTGTAGGATTCAGCTCTTTCCTTCCAGCATGTGGGTAGGCTCCAGGAACCAAACTCAATCAGGCTTGGTGGCAACATGCTGGCCTAACAATGAGATTTTACATTACTCCAGTCAACATGGCTATCATTAAGACAATGAATAAAGCTGAGAGGTGGTGGCACACGCATTTAATCCCAGCACCCAGGAGGCAGAAGCAGAGGCAGGGGGACCTTTGAGTCCAAGACCAGCCTGGTCAACAGAGTGAGTTCCAGGACAGCCAGGGCTACACAGAGAAACAAACAAACAAACAAATGCTAGCAAGGAAGAATAGGAAAGGGAATTCCTTACACTGTTGGTGACCATGTAAATTAATTCAGTCACTGAGGAAATCAGTACTGAAGTTCCTCAAAAATAAATAATAATATAAAAAGAAAACCCTAAAATCTAAAACATAAAGCCGAGCAGTGGTGGTACATGCCTTTAATCATAGCACTTGGAAGGCAGAGGCAGGCGGATCTCTGTGAAATCATGGCCAGCCTGATCTACAAAGTGAGTTCCAGGACAGCCAGGTCTACACACAGAGAAACTCTGTCTCGAAAAAAAAAAATTCCTCTAAAAATAAAACCATTCAGGGATTCTAAGTCAACACACCATAGAGATAACTTTGCACATCCATGTTTATTGCTGCACTATTCACAATAATCAAGTTACAGTGTCAGCTTAGGTGCCCATCAATACATGAATGGACCGAGAAAATATTACATGGGTGTATACACACAAACACACACACACACACATACACACACAATGGAGTGTTAGTCAGCCACAAAGAAGAATGAGATTTTGGTCTCTGTAGGAAAATAGATGAAACTGGTGATGATGTTAAGTAAAATAACCTCTCATACATAGCTGGGCGTTGGTGGTGCACGCCTTTAATTCCAGTACTCGGAAGGCAGAGGCAGGTGGATCTCTGTGAGTTCCAGACCAGCCTGGTCTACAGAGCTAGTTTCAGGACACCCTCCAAAGCCACAGAGAAACCCTGTCTCAGGAAAACCAAAAAACAAAACAAAACAAAAACCATACACACTCAGAAAAACAAGTAAGTGCATTTTCTATTTTTAGTGAATCCTAGATTGTATACAAGCGCTGTTGTAGTTTGCATGAGAAGTTTCTCCCCATGCTTGCTCCACAGTTAGTGGTGATGTTTTCGGGAGAATATTGGTACCTTTAGAAGCCTTGCTAAAGGAAGTATGTCACTATGGGGTGGGTTTTGAGGGCATATAGTTTCACCCCATTTCTTCCTCCCTCTGTCTCGGATCAGATGGATAAAATCATTTAAACATGTAGAATGAAACAAACGAGAGATTATGTTGGGGAAGAAGTGAACTAATGTGGGTGGGGAGAAGAGGGAGTGAGTGAAGGATGAATATTTTCAGAATTGGTGATCTCCTTGAATAAAAATGTCTTTAGGAAACCTGTGGATTTTTTTGCTTTGTTTTTAAAAAAAAACAGGAAACCTGTTCTCCATACAATAAATAGACACCAATCAAAACATAATTAAATTAAAAAATAAAAGTAAAACAAGTGTTCTAAAGAGACTGTCAGTCATTTTTGACAAGGAAAGACACCGAGAACGAGAGTTACACCTGCTTCGTGAGGTGCCTTCCCATGTAGGCTCACACAGCTTTAAAGCCTCTTTTGTAACTTCAAGGCCCTCGGTCAGCAACTTTGCCCAGCAATGTCACCAACATGAGGAGAGTCACATGGCTCATCTGCCAGCTGTCATCTCTCCATCTCTCCTTCTTCATCTGCTCCCTAGCCAACGGCTGTACTAATTTACACCAGGTAGAGGGGGCAAGGCCACAATCATGACAGGAGCAAGAGAGCCTGTGGACACTGCGTGGTGAAAACAAACAGATGTCACCTTCCAGAAAACCAGGAAAACCCATTCATGTGGCTGCCTGAGCCAGATTGTGAAAAGTCACAGTCACATTCATGAACCCTCAATATCTAAACTCTTCAGTATGCATAATCTGAGCCTAACTGACTATGGTTTAAATACTACAGCTTAAAATTATCTGAGGAAAAAAAAAACAGCTCCAGCTTTGTTTTCATTACCTGAAAGCGATTTAAAGCATAAAAACCACAGGAGAGGAACTTCAGAGTAAACAGGAATCTTTGCCACATGCAATATTTGAAATGGAAATCTCACTTCTGCTTCCCCACCATTGCAATTCTTGACCTATGTGACAAGACTCTCTCTCTCTCTCTCTCTCTCTCTCTCTCTCTCTCTCTCTCTCTCTCTCTCTTTCTCTCTCCCTGGTTGTCCTGGAACTTGCTATGTAGATCAAGCTGGCATGGGATTTACAATGATCCTTCTGTCTCTGCCTCCCAAGTGCTGGAATTAAAGGTGTGAGCCATCATGACTGGCCCTAATCTCAATAATATGTATATGTACCACTATTTTGCCATTTTCAGATGAAAAAACAGAGTTTTATTTTATTTTATCTTAATGTTCATGCCTGCAAGTGTGTGTGTGTGTGTGTGCATGCGTGCGTGCGCACACATGTGCGAGTGCACACACCTGTATGTACCAGTGGACATATTACGGTGTACATATGGAGGTCACAGGACAATTTGTGAGAGGTTCACCATTTGGAGATCTGGGATCCACTCAGGTTGACAGCCTTGGTGGCAAGTGGCTTTCCCTGCTGCACTAACACACCAACCCAGAAGCAGGATTTTAGAGAGGAACTTTGCTCATGACACATGAAACCTAAGATTCAGATAATTGGGACAACTCTACAGAAGAGCTGGATCTACGGCCCAGTTTACTGTCACTGCATCACTGAACCATTTTCTCAGTCTGCCTCTGGCCTATTGACAGGATTGGTGACAGGCGCTAATGGACCCTGAGAACACACTGTAACCAGACACTGGACTAACTATTATCGACTCACTTTCTTATTGAAATCCCAGGTGATGTAGCTTGTGAGATGGAACTTAGCCTATTTTTCTCTCCCGTTACTGAAAGATGAAAAGAGCTTCACAGAGTTTAAGAGTGAAACTCTACCCAGAAATAAGATGTGCTCTGAGGTCAGCTTCTTCTGTCCTGTTTGACATCCAGGACAGCTCCCAACCTTGACCCTAGCAAGAATTTAGCTCCTCCTTATGAGGCTGACATCTGAGGAAGCTGATGGTTTGTATCCAGCTCAATCCCTTAGCCTCAAATATAAGCAACCGTGCCAGCCCAGCATAAATCTGAAAATAACAAAGACAATAATCCATTACACTAAGCTTACTTAATATCTAACTAAGATAGCATCATTTCTTGTTAAAAGATTTTTAAAATGAAATTTTGAGTAAGGGCCAGCAAAATGACCCATGTATAGTGGTACTTTCCCGAGACCTTAGTCCAGTTCCCTCATCTCACACAGTAAAAGGAGACAGCAAGTGCCTCCAAGTTTCTCTCTTACCTCCACATGCCATCCATGGCACATGACCACACACACACACACATACACACAGAGATAGATTAATTTATTAAAATGTAATAAAATTAAAACTTTTTAAGTAAAATGAAGTCTTTGTTGGCTGTGAGTCTTAGCCTTTAGCAGATGAACCATCTCTCCAACCACAAATGACTATCTTTCTAAATGAAATGATGGCAATAGTAGATATTTCTCTTTCTTTGTATAGCAAAATCTGTGGATATCCAAAATAATTCCTCCATGTGGAGACTGGGGTGTCATTTTCCTGAGACAGGAAATCCAGAGGCCTCTGTGTCACCCCTTGGACAGAAGAAGAAGGAACTGAAAGGCCTTGGCCCAGGTCACTTGGCTAGTTTGTGACTTATACAGGTTCCTAACCCAAGGACCAACATGTGTGTCCATGACCTCACTCATCTCAAACAATATCTCAAGAGCAAAAACTGATCTTCTTAGCTGTTTATCACATTCAAAACTATGAAATGAGACAGCGTTAAAAACATACACCTGTGCTCATGTCTCACCTGTGCCGTCTCCCTCAGTGGTCAGGGTTCTTGGAGAAGTTGTAGCAGGGTCTCCATGAGCAGATGCAGGCGGACTGAACTTGGCTTGAGTCAGAAAAACATATTAAGGGTCAGGAATTTTTTTACATTTATTTATTGGGGAGAGGGAAGTGTGCAGGTCAGAGAACAATGTTCAGGAGTGAGTTCTGCCCATTCACCATGTGTGTTGCAAAGGCAAAACTCAGGTAACCAGGCTTGGCAGTAAGTGAGTTTGCCCACTGAACCCTCTCCCCAGCCCAGGAATACAGCTGTCAGTCAGGAAATCCACAGAACAGCAGAGAACATGTGAGAGGTGAGAAATGAAGAGACTCAGGTCCTCACCTTCAGACCTACATGGACACATTCACAGAGAGTACAGCACACATTTCAGATGCGTAACCATGGCAGGATGTGGTTGCCATTGCTACAGTCTAATTAGTGATGGAACTAACAACTACATGAGAGGCCACACTAAAGCTCTGCATAAATTTCGCATTGTAGAATCCTTTCAGTGACCGACGTGATAGTCAACTACATTAATTATACTTTACAGCTAAAGAGATCATACATGAAATTATGCTCCAATGTTACACAATTAGAAGGAGAGTCGATTTGAACTCTGCTCCATACAACCTTAAGGTTCATGCTATAAAATCGTTTTATTTGTGTAGTGCTGGGGAGTCAAACTCAGGCTTTTTTTTTTGATGATCTATATACATAACCTTATCTATTACAAATCTTAAAACACAAGAACATGCACATAAACACTTCTTAACACACACTTACAACCCTGTGGTCCATATTCCTGGCTTACCTGAAGTAGATTTTTGTGAAGAAAAAAAAAATAGGAAACTCAGTATCCACCTCCAGATATGGTAATGCCGCTGGAGGTAGGAAGATAGTAAGAGCAGTGGATGGTAGTGGATGACTCCAAGAAAACCGTGTCTTCCAGACCAAACAGAACTGCTGCACATAGGAATTCACAGAGACAACAACAATGCTCACAAAACATGCACAGACTCAACCCAGACAAAATTCAGCACTGACAGGGGAAGTAGACATGGGTTCTTGCTCCTAACTAAGAAGATACTTGTAATTGATACCGTCTAGGAAAGGAATAATCCAGTTTTCTCCAGTGGAGTGTCATGAGATGTGCCAGCCACACTCAAGAGCAGGCCCTTGCCATGTAGTTATGTAGTTGGCCAATACAAATAGACTCCATTTGACTTTGTAAACTTTTTGTTTGATATCTTTCATATTTTTGGTTTTACTTGTCTGTTTTGACTTTTGGTGAGTTTTTTGTTTTTGTTTTATTTGTGTGTGTGTGTGTGTGTGTGTGTGTGTGTGTGTGTGTTTAAGAGACAGAGCATAAAATTGTGTGAGTAAGAAGGTGGGGAGACTGGTGAGAGTTGGAGGAGAGGAAAGAGAATGATCAAAATGTATCATGAAAAACTTAAATGAAAAATCATTTTTTGAAAACTAAGTTTCCATGTGACCTAATGATCAGGCAGGGTCTTGAACCTTTGGTTTAGGCCTTCCTTCCCTTCCTCTAGACTGCATCCTTGAGTATGAAAACACATGGAAGGTATGTCACTGGCCTTCACAGGTGAGGCCTCTTTATCCTAGGTCTTCCCATCCCACCCCTAGGACTGTAGCTAGGGAAGTCAGAGGTAATAATAATCCATGTGTTTATTATAATGTCATGATCCACAGGTAATTCGTACAGACAAAGAGAACATGGAAAGGTCTACTCACCTTGTATAATGTCTAATTTCAGGTCTAATTTTTTATCATTCCCTAGACCAGGGAATTCTACCCTGCAACAGTAGGTCCCACGGTCATCTACAGTCACATTCTCTATGGTCAGGGACACATCTCCTTTGAGGAAACTCCCCCTTAGCTGGTATCTTCTGGATTTCTGATATGTCACGTTTCTTTCATCAGTGCTGAGAACTCCACTGCCACACCGTGACCAAGGACAGGGTCCCCTGCCCCAGCACACAGGCACTGGTATCCCAGAGCTAGGAATAGGGTAGTTGCAGGGCAGATATGCATTCTTGCCGACCTCGACAATAAATGTGTCTTCCAAAGACCCTACACAGAGAGGGAAGGAGGAGCAGACAGTGAGGGAGTGGGTCCATTTGTAATGAATCATAGAATAAAAGAGGGAACTATAGCTGCCCTGTTGGGAGTAGGATTGACTGTGCCAATGATTCTCTGACATCACAGGAAGTAGAGAGCCTTGTTCAAACACCTGCTATGATTACACATGTCTCTAGTTCTGGAGCTTGGCAGGTTGAGACAGGAAGATCCCAGTTAGAGACCAGGCTGAACTATAGAGCAAGTTCCAGGCTAGCCTGAGTGATGAAGTCATCTCTCAAAAAACAAATTAACAGGCCAGAAAATGATGACTGCTGGTAATTCCTATACTAAGGAGTCTATGGCAGAACTGCAGTGAGTTTGAGGCCAGACTGGACAACCTATGCTCATTCCCTAAAATATCTGCCTCTATTGGTCTGAGAATGAAACATGAGAATTTGCATTTCTCTCAGTGCCCTTATGTTGTGGGCCCTTGACCCCACCCTACCCCCAACAAACACTCTTTTCAGCCCTCAAAGAGAACTGTGAACAGCTTTTTGAAGATAAAGAACCTAGGCTAATGGAGTCAACCATCAGAAAAATGGGAACTGTTGGCCAGAAAAATAGCCCACCTATCTGGGCTAGTTGTCTGTTCATTAAAAAAAAAAAAGAAAGGTAACCTAATCCTCATTCATAGCTTGCGTATTTCAAACTCCGCATATGTTATATTGAAGTTTAAAGTAAATCCCTTTATAACAACACACACATCTACATGACAATGTATTCAAACCACATGAAAGATACAAGACTCCCTCTCCTGATTCTTCCCATCATCTAGCTCCCCTTCCTGGAGCCCAAACATTAAAAAAATATGCACACACTGCTGTTCCCTGGCAATGCTTGCACACATAATTGGACATCTTGATTTGCTCTGTAGCATTGTGATTGCTGACATCTATATCAGGTTGTTCAGTTAGGCTCCCTGCTTGCATCATAGACACATGAAATTTAGTTACCTGGCCTCCCACTGTTGACATGTAGGTTGCTTCCAAACATAGGCTATTACAAACAGTGCCACTATGCCCATCTTGTTTCTATGTCTTGCCCTCTGTGAAATCATCTTTCTCTAACTGAAAAGGTACCAGCCCACACTTACTTGCAAGTAGCAGCAGCAGCAGCAGCAGGACACAGTTGAAAGTAAGATGTGAAAACATTAGTTCTTGGCAGGGAAATCAAAGGCCAGCTCTATGCAGGCACGGCTTTAGCAGTCCAGTTAAAATGGTACTTCCTCTAACTTCTCTCTACTCCAGAATCATGAGCGCCGACCACACCCACAGCCTACTTCCCAGGGTGTCTGACCACCAGCTGTGTGAAACTGCTAATCTAGTCACATCGGAGAATGTTCCTGTTCTGTGTCATCTCACACTAGACACAGCGTGCAGGCATGCTGACATTTATCATGTGACATCAACAAAGAGGAAGCCCTATTTCAGAGGAAGAAAAGTGTTAGTCATAGCAAGAGGAGAGTGTCTTCTAATACCTCAGATAAAATAACCTGAGATGGTCCATGTACAAACCCAGCTGGTTACCAGAGAACAAAAATATAAACAAGTCACTCATGTATTCCTGCAGTCAGGTCACTCTCACAGGCCTGTGACCAATGTTCTTGAAACACCTGCTTGGATCCAGGAGCTGGACTGGGAGCTAACGCAATGAAAGCTGGCATGGTGGTACAAACCTTTAATCCCAGGTAGAATCGAGCAGATTCTGACTTTTAAGGCTAGCCTGGTCTACAGACCAAATTCCAAGACAGCCTGGACAGAGAAACCTTGTCTGGGGAGGGGAGAGAAGAAAGGAGGAGGAGAGGAGAGAGAATGAAGTTAACATTATATTCCTTATCTTTACATGTTTGATTACTTTGATGTCAACTGAGAGTTCAGGTATCATCCTCAGTGTAATACACCTTAGAATGTAAACTTATTGTATCTACTTGCCTTGTTTATAATGGTATTATGAGGCAAGGAAATTATCAAGACACCATTACAAGTGGTGCATGCTTGCAATTCCAGAACTCAGGAGGCTGAGTTAGGAGGTTCAGTGAGAATGAGATCAGCCTGGGCTACATAGGATGCCCTCTGTTAATGAGACCAAATAAGTTGTGTCCGTAATCTATGCAAAGCTCCAAAAATCATTCTGACTTTGACTTTCAAACTTTCAAAAGCTTCCATTTAGGAAACACACACTTCCTTTGGCAATGGTTCTTGTCCAGTATGTGGCTAGAGCTGAGTGAATTTCAATATTCCATCCCATCTCTGTTCCCCTGGAGGAAAGGGAGACTTTGAATATGAATTTTCAGAATATGTTAAGTTCCAGCCATGTCATTATGACTAAGGTACCATGTCAGACACCAGCACTCTCAGCCATTGGAGAATGACATTTATCTAGACACCTTCAAAACCAAAGGTTTCCCACAGAGGGAAGTCAGCTCCCAGACTGGGAGATTTCTGAAAACCCAGTAGGTTTCTGCTATGTCAGCCCTTCCTAGCCCTGTCACTCACCTTGCCTCAGATGTACTTACTATTTTTAATTTTTATTCCATTTTACATTCCAACCAAAGTTCTCCCTTTCACCCCTCCTCCCAGCCCACCCCCCATCCATTCCTCCCAACAGGTAAGGGTTCCCATGGGGAGTTGGCATAGTCTAACACATTAAGATGGGGCAGAACCAAGTCCCTCCCCCCTGTGTTAAGGCTGAGCATGGCATCCCCTCATAGGGAATGGTTTCCAGCAAGCTAGTTCATGTACCAGGGATAGATCCTGGTCCTACTGCCAGGGGCCCCTCATTTAATCTAAATATCTAACTTGCTCAGTATGTGAAGCTCCACAGCACCACGGAATGAGGGCTACTTGGTATCCTCATTTTACAGTACAGACAAGAGAGACTCAAGGAGAATGGCTGGTCCCAAGGCACATGTTCAGCAATTTAAAGTAAGAACAAGTTTCACTCCTCCAGCCCTACACTTGCACTATAGACTATGTTGCATGAATTAAATGACCACTACTAACAACTTTTGGAAAGTATTCAAGTATAATGGAGAGAGGGTTAAACATGAAGCTGAGGGCCGTATTCACTCTGCAAAGGCCTTGAGGGACTCCCAAAGCTCCAGCCTGCAGTTCTGTGTCTTCTATTCAATGGCAGTCCCTAGAACTGAGACCAATTTTTACTGCCTTGCTTTTTGTTTGGCTTTGTGTTGTTTAACATGAGGTCTGATGCAATCTAGGATGATCTGGAACTCTCTATGTAGCCCAGGCTGGCCTCACACTTACCATCCTCCTTGCCTCTGCTACCCAACTACTAGCATTAGAAATATGTTCAATCATGCCCATTTCTTTGAGTAGCTCTGTAATACACTGATATACTTATTATTATTATGTATTATTAAACCATTATTATTTTATACTGTATATTTTATATTGATAATATATTATTTGTTATTCATAAAATTGCTATTAATTTGTTAAAGTACAGACATGAAAGAGTCCTTTTTCTATTTGTGAATATGGGACTCATTTCTGATTTTTTTCCATATTAATGTCTTTCTTCTTAACTTCTTAGTGGGTTTTTTGTTATGCTAAACACACACAATCAGCATCATAAATGGCTACATTTAGCAATAAACAACATGGGAGGGGGAAACAGAAACACAATAAAGCCCTCTGTATATACTTTACAATTTCCACAGAACAGAAATTGAAATTATCTCTTAAACAAGTCCTTGAGGGCGTTTTGCCTATACATCGGAGTATTGCTTAAAGCAGATAGTGAACACTTTGAGTTATTTATTTTTTTAAAAAGTAATATTCAATTCATTTTCTTTTCATCATTGTTTTCATTTTTGCTCACTTATCATTTTGGTACAGAGTGCCAACATGAAGGTCAAAAGACAGTTTGTTGGAAACAGTTCTCTCCTTCCGCCATGTGGGTCCCAGGGATCAAACTCGGATCTTTTTGGCTTGGTGGTGCCTTTACCCTCTGAGCCGTCTCTGGACCCTAGTCCATTTTCTATTGTGATGACACTCCGACGAAGTAACATAAAGAAAAGAGTTTTAGCTAGGACAGTTTTGGAGGCTCGGAGTCGTGGCATCAGTACTGGCTAAGCTCTGGGAGGACCTCATGGAGGTTGGCATCATGATGCTGGGAAAGTATTCAAGAGAGAGAGAGACCATGTGGTGAAGCAGCAAGCCCGGTCAGGAGGCTGGCTTGCTCTCCGTGTGACAGCCATCTCTCAGGAACTAACTTGTGTCTGTAATAGCTACTTTCAGTCCCCCTAAAGATGGTGTCCTCCTTGAGGTCTACTCAAATTCCCCTTGAGTCATCTCTTGAAAGCCTCATCATCTTTCAATATGTAAACTATCGAAGAACAGACAGCATCCAGGCCAGCTACATGTTCAAATGGACAAACAGTTACAGGAATATGAAAAATATATTCCTTGTTCCCACCCCATCAAGGTCAGAGGTCAGAGGTCAGAGGACACTCCCAGGAACTGGTTATCTCTTTTCACTGTAGGTTCCAGGAATTGGACTTGGATGGTCATGGATGCACAGAAAATACTTTGAACCACTGAGCTGCCTCACCCTTTTCTTATTTAGACAAAATTGTATATCACATAATTTTTATCTCTTGTATCTTTTTTGTCTTTTATTTGCTTAACTGAGTTTTAAAAAAAAACATAGACTTGATATGCCACCCTCTCAGACTTCAATGTGCATCTCCTTCCAAAACTAAAAAGGAAGCCCTTTTGTGTAGCCATGTACCACTGCTACTCAAAATTGCTGATGATTTTCTATACCTCACATGTTAGACTGTAACCAAAATATCTCAAAAATATTACTTAAGTGATTTATTCTCATCCAGACTTAGACAAGGACAAGGCATCTACATGGAGCTGGTTGCTATGCCGCAGTCTCTTTTAATTGATGACAATCTTCTCATTTCCCAGTCACTCGCTGGTTCTGTAAACCACATCTGTGTGAAATGGTCTGCATTCTGGGCTTGTCTGCTTCCTGGTGGTATCACGTACTTTAGTTCCTGTTTCTGTCATGGTTCCTGCAAGGGAAATTTAGCTCTAGAGGTTTAGTGAGCTTCAGGTTGATTTTTTTTAAGCCTCACAGCTTGCTCTGAATTTGATCTTGCAACATAACTACCTGATTGCTGCACATCTAAAGATGCCAAATTGGCCAGCCCACAGCTCCCACACACTAGTTTCTGAAAACCTGTATCTCCTGTAGTGTAGTCTCATCTCTTGCTACAGACACATTCCTCTGCATGAAAATAAATTAAATGTGGTTTCTCATGCCCATAGTCTCAGCACTGAGGTAATTGAGTCTTGTATCATGAGTTCAAGACTACCTTGGGCTACGTTGTGAATTATAAGCCAGAATGGTACACAGGGAAGATTGTTTAATGTCTTCACCACAAAGAAATTATAAATGACCTAGAAGCTAAGAGCAGGAGAATTCAAGTCTAGTATGCATAGCAAGAACTTGTCTCAAAAGAGAAATGAAAAAAGAAAAAATCAAAACAAAACCAAACATTATAACCATCATCAACAACAAAATACATATTTTAACACTTAGAGAGAGGGGGAGAAAGAGAGAGACAGAGACAGAAAGACAGATAACAAAACAAAAAGGGGAAAAGAAAGCCAGACATGATAGTGCAGGTCTGAAATCCTAGCTACTTGGGAGACTGAATATTGCAAGTTCAAGGTCTTTCTGGGTTACAGAGCAAGTTTATGGCCAGCAAGAGTAATTTAGTGAGACCTGGTTGTAGAATATCAGTTAAAGATGTGTTACATTTGTTTACGCTGTGGAACATTTGCTTAAGGATCCAAAGATGTGTTCATTCTTTAGGTTGCATTTGTTTAACTCTGTGAAGCTGTGTTACTTTGCCTGTCTCAAATACCTGATGGTCTAATAAAGAGCTGAATGTCCAATAGCAAGGCAGGAGAAAGGCTAGGTGGGACTGGCAGGCAGAGAGAATAAATAGGAGGAGAAATCTGGGAAGAGAGATGGAGGAGCCAGAAAAGGAGGAGGACATAGGGGCCAGCCATTGTAGGGGAAACACGACTCCGCCATTAGCCATGTGGCACTCTAAAGACACATATGGATGTGGTAATGAAAGGGCAGAACCGCGCCGCTAACCACACCCACTTTAGGCATGACTAGAGACAGGGCGGTGGAACTACACCACTAGCCAGGCCCACTTTTGGGCATGGCTAGGGACGTGTAAGGAGGAAAGAATAAAAGACTGAGCAGCAGAACCTCTCGCTCAGCTCTCTTTTCGGCTTCCAGTTTGGCAGCGGAAAAATACTCGG